AGGAAGGAAGGAAGGAAGGAAGGAAGGAAGGAAGGAAGGAAGGAAGGGGAAAAAAAAAAGAAATCAAAGAGACAGGTAGGACACCAGTCCAGGATATCTAAAGAGATTCCTTCAACCACACATAATTTCAGGATGCAAACAATAGACCTTCATTCCCAAACTCTGATTCCTATAACCATCAATCCCCATTTAGAAAACATGACTCACTGGATGAAGGACAGTGCCCAGCATGTTCTGGTTGTGGGAGCTCTCCAGGATAATCTGTACATCTCTCTGCAAGAGTCGGGACTCCGTGAAGAATTTAGCCTCCGCAGCAAATGGCTCTGGTGTCTCAGGGCCATCCAATTCTCTTCTGAAAGTTGGACACTACAGACAAAAGCAAAAATCAGATTAGCCAATGGCTCTTTCATCCTTACTCACAGGTCAAATTGGACCTTCCACAAGAAAATAATTTCAGTAAAATTAGCTTAATTTTAAATTAGCTTATTAAATTAGCTTAAAAAAAAGTTTCAAACTAGGTTTTTCTATCCTACTTAAAGGCATTAGTGCTAAATGACAATGAAGCTGCTATACAATCCCAAGGCAGTTTTAATTATGGTTGAAGACAATGTTTTACCAAACAAGGATTCACTAGGGTTTTAAGACCTAATTATCTCACAGGAAAGGATAATTTGCAGCAATACAAGTCACAATCACCCAGACCCCACAATATCCCATCCCTCTCTCCCAGATTAATATCCTCAGAAGTACTTCCCCCTCTAAATCTTCAACCAAACAAACCCTAAGAGATCTGTTTTGCTTTGTCCCTGCTCAAATTAATCCCACTGCAGGTTTTAAACCAGGGCAAGGGGAAGGGCACTCTTTTCAGAATGAAACAGAGATCTGGAAACAACAACTACCTTCAAGGTCAAATAACAATGAAATCTAATATCAAAAGCTATAGACTACCTGCCTAACTAACGGGAAGGTCTTACCCATCCCCAGCCCCCATGCAAAGCCTGACCTTGATCCCTGAGAGCATGACTGTGACCAGATAATATTCAGGCAAGAGCAGAGCCCTGACCACACTGCCGTCTCGCACGTGCTCGATGATAGCTGTATGACAAAAGGAAGAAATTAAGTTTTCTGGAATATTGAAAAAAGCTATGACGGAGAGAGGAGGGGACACCAACACCTAGGAGAGCCCAGGAGGGACATAATGAACTAAAAAAAGCACCTAAAATGCCAGTCAAAGACAACCCAATCCCTCCACCCAAATATGAGTGAGTAAAAATATCCCTTAGTCAGCACTTCTTAAACCGGGGGTTGTGACCCCAATATGGGCACTGAAGGGATCACAGTGGAAGAAGTTTAAGAAGCCCTGCCTTAGAAAACTGATAGCAACTGCAGCATTAGACGTCTAAATCCTTCAAATTACCATTAGGCATGAAATGCCAGGCCTACACCAGGCTAAACACAGATAACTCACTCCCAGTTCCCTTCAAAAAGTCCCTTTGACAAGAGGCCTTTTTCTGTGACTTCACTTGTTAGCACTCCAATTCTAAATGGGTTGTGGTGATTGTGTATCTATTTTGCATTTATTTATCTGTAGGTGCATTGCAGATAGGCCCCACCCGTAGACTAGAAGTTCCTGGAAGAAAGAGAATGTCAGGGCCTAATGCATGCCAGGTGCTTAATAAATGATTTGGATTGAGCCTGTATAGCTAAGACAATTATTGTCTTAGTTCTTTTTCCTCTATAGCTAGAACTTTTCCACTAGCACATATATAATCATACATCTTTATACATCTGAAGACTATCATCAGGTGCTAAGTACTCTACACACCCAGGATGGTCATCATCCTCATCTTCCTCACAGCTAACATTTATAAGGCACCGTAAGTTTTGCAAAGTGCTATATACATAGTATCACATTTCATGATTACAACAACCCTGTGAGATAGGGACTCTTAGCATCATGCCCATTTTAGAGGAGGAAACTGAAAAAAATGATTTAACCAGGGTTCCAGAGTTAGTGTCTTGGATCTTACTGACTCCAAGTCAAATAGTTTATCCATCATGTCACCGAGCTGCCTTAGGCACAGGATTTAAATTCATCAAGCCCAAGGCTTTTATTTTACATATGAAAAAATTAAGGTCCACAGAGGTGAAATGACTTACCCAAGGTTAACAAATGTACAATAAATATCTGCTGATAATATTTGGAGTTCTGGCCTGGACTAGTGATTTTACTGGTAGAGAGAGCTCTCCAGTGAGGACACTCTCTCCAGTGATACAGACTGGTAACTGTTCTGCAGCTTGTCCTCTTTAAAGACTTGCCTCGAGCACTGAGAAGTCAAAGGACTTGGCCCCAGTCAGACAGTCAATATATGTCAAATATTTTTGAATCCAGAACTTCTTCCAAGGCAGGAGAAAGGACAGGAAAAGATTTTAAGTTCTCAACTGTTGATAATTCAAGGTAAACTGTAACATGTTGTAAGCTCAGGAACAAAATGTTTTAGAGGGCTGGAGGGAGATTACAGATATGGTAAGCAGAAGTAGTTTGCCCTTTTTTAGAGAGAACATCAAAGTATTTTTCTTTACAAAACACGGAATATATATCCATGTGAAATGAGCTCAAAATCCCTTCTAGGTCACATGGATGAGCACACATAACCCCACTCAGATGCAACCTATACAGGAGTCCCCCTCAACTTTAAATAAGCTGCAGAGGAAAAGAAAACCCAACAAGTCAAACAAAGGACTAGCCTGGGTGATATCTCACTCCATATGTTTTTCCTCTGCCCTCCCCAAACCAAGTGACTCACCATTAACAGGCTTCTGGTGGTGAGAATCCACAAAGTGCCGAGGATTTTCAATGGTGTATTTGAGGTCCCGGATTGTATGAGAACCATTTCCCTCACTCCACATGCCTTTCTTGGCCATCTTTGCCTGGTCCTCACATTCAGCAAGCCGATTCTGCTCAGGGCTGACATGGATAGAAATAGAAGAAGTTCAGTTGGTGGATAAAAGGGCTGGGGACAACGATACTAGAGTACATGGTAAAAGAAAGCCTAGGGATATCAAAATGTTTGACCAATATGACATGTTAATTAGCAAGGCCTCCTCGAGAGTGGAGTACAGAAAGACTACCATCAATGCCATTCCCAGATTCCAAACCTAATCCACTCAAGCAACATAATTAAAATTGAAAACATTTTAATTAATGTGGCCATTTTAATGAATTGTGGCCTGAGCAATAACAGTACAATCTACGTTCACTACATTTTTTTAAAACCTGGTTCTGATTTCACTGTTACATGAAAATACAAGAAAGAAAATAAAGATCAATAGCTGTTATATAATTACCAGTCTTAAAGAGTTGCCTAGCTCACTCCCATGATCACCCAGTCAGTATACGTGAGAGGCAGCCCTTGAACCCAACATTTCCTGACTCCAAGCTGACTCTATCCACCACCTTATGCCACTCTTTCTCAGTATCCTGGGCTCTCAACAATCTGGAAATATGAATAGAAGTAGTTCAGCTGGGAGCCTTGCCAGGAACTCCTTTTAACAAGACCCGAATTAAGAGGATTGGCCCAATTTTAATTCAAAATAATATAGAACTAGAGGAGAAAGAAAGATTAAGAACTCCCTTCACCCCTCAGATAATTCTATATAGAACAAAGAGTTCTGCGGGAGCACGTACAATATTGTTATTTTCATTAAGTTATCACCAATTAAGCACTAAATAGAAACTTGAGCAGATCTGAAAAACATTCATCCCTCATCATTGCAGACTCAAGGCATTCTAGAATGAACCAACAAGGAGTATCCTACTGTCTAGCACAGAGTAGATAAAAAGTCCATGTACACAAATGACTTATCTCTTTTTTTAGTGATTAAAACAAAGTTGAACTGTGCAATAAAAGGCCTTTCAAAGCTAACATCTAAGGAGGTAGCCAACATCCTTGGGACAGCAATACCAAGTAAAGGTCCCACTTTTCCCAGTAGGAAACTGGTGTTCCCAGCTCCATAGTACAGAGTTGACACTGACTTTCAACTAGAGCAAGCTTCTCAAACCTCCAGCCTGCAAATTCATACTAAGGTAGCTACATTATTAAAGCTCATGTTCCACAGCAGAGGTTCTTAACCTGAGGTCTATAACCTTCTTGGTTTGTTTGTTTTTTTAAGTTTGATAACTGTTTTCAAGATGAATGGTTTTTTCTGTAGTCTAATATGTTTTATTTTATGAATTTTAAAACATTCTGAGAAAGGGTATAGGTTTCATCATATAGTCAAAGGTGCCTATGACACAAAAAATTTAAGAACTCCTGTCTAGAGATAGGTACGGAAAGGAAAATAACATCTTGTAGTTCTCAATTGGCAAAAATAATGCAGCTTAAGAAAAAGAAACAAAACCATTCACTAAAGAGAGAAACACTTAGACCTATACTCAACCTTGGAGAAATATGAACTTGATGATTCTTGTGCAGTTTCCATTTTTGAAATGGATTGGAACTTTACCTTGGCTGTCCTCTGGGGTTTATTTACTCTACATTCACAGAGGCAGAATGTGTATTCTTAAAAATATCCACAAAAGTAAGCATTCGATCAATTGTCTATGACATAAACTTTGGCATGCTTCCAAAAATACCACCTAAACACAAACATGTTTGGAAAAATAGAGCCCCAACCACCCTCTCTGCTACATAAACACACAACCACCAGTGTATCACTATACATGCTAACAAATCTCCCTTCAATCAGCCAAGGGCAGAGATAGATAGTATGAAGTTACTATGAGGATTTAAGAGTTATTCGACTTGGTTTAATTGCTATTGGAGGTACAAAGGGACAGGTGACAGGATGGCACATCAAACTTCTCCATCTAATCAACATGACCGAAGCAGATTTCTGTCTACAGCTGCCTCTAAGACTCTAACAGCCATCTGGTAGATAGATGATTAAGCAGCATCTCAAGCCACCACAACGACTGATTCAGCACTTGCCTCTCGTAAGCCAGAGTATCAAACAAATGCAGCTGCAATACACTGTACTGGACGCTCTAAGATCAGTGAGGCTGAATCCAACACTGCACTTCATACTTTTACCAACCCCCCTAAACCTCACTTCCCAAAATGGCACCTTCACACTACAATCAGGTAAAAAACAAGCCAGTTACCAGCTAGCAACCTGCATCCTCCCTCAAAATCTGTCTGGGTATAAGTCTAAAGGTCAGATAACCTGAAACGGCAACAGCCATTTAGACTTTCTTCAATTTCAGTAAAGCGGTCACGCTGCTGCATGCTTGTCAAGAACCACCAAACTCTTCCAGATATGAACTAAAACAGATTCTGGGACATCCAGGGGGCAAGAGAAAAACCATACATACTTATTGGCTCGGATGCCTTCTCTCCGGCACGCTAAGCCTTCCGCTACTAGAGACTCTGCGATGTTTTCCCCACTCGTATCTGAAAGAGGAGAAAAAAGAAATTAAATGTAACAATCATGCCTATGTTCATCAACAACAGAGCTTGGATAACTTTACCTTTACTCTTCAAGAACAATTTTTCTGAAGAAGTGATTCAGAGAGATTACCCAAAATGGTCTGATGGTACAACTTCAAAAGTCTCAAAGAGGTTCAGGAATCAAAGGCCCGCCTTCACTCAATAGGACTTCCTTTCCATTTCTCCAGCTTATGCCCTCAACTAAGAGTTAACTAAAGAAGCCAAAAACCAGATGACACAAAGATGAAACAAGGCAGCCCTAAGTCTGAAGCCTGCAGATTCACTGACTCAAGTTTGCCTGTCAGAGGGCACCAAGGCTTCTGGTTCTTTCACAGGATTTACTTGCCTCTCCCCTAAAGATTCCTAAGTCCCTCAACATCATCTAAGAGATTCTTCTGCTCAGAAAGATGCGAGATTTTCTTTTCAGTCTTTTAAATCCCACAAGTCATCCCTTAAAACCAGAAGGGAAAATAACACCTCCCTCTTACCCTTATTAGGTTTTACCCTGACACTTGAAATATTATTTGTGATTTCTTATTATCAAAGAGGCTTTTAGAGCCACACATTTCCTTAAATCTGTCTGTCAGTCAGAAAAATAAAGGAAGATATTTGCATGGGAATCATAAAAATCTGGCAGAGAACAACATTCTTTTTTTTGGGGGGACAGTGGGGGTTAAGTGACTTGCCCAGGGTCACATAGCTAGTAAGTGTTATGTGTCTGAGGCTGGATTTGAACTCAGGTCCTCCTGAATCCAGGGCCGGTGCTCTATCCACTTCGCCACCTAGCGGCCCCCAGAGAACAACACTCTAGATAAACTGAAACAGTACTCTGGCTGATAGACAAGGTCACAATAAGGGGGGAAAAATTCAAAAAAATTTATATTCACAATACTATATATCATAGTTCTGTCACAACGATAAATATACACATAATGCACCCCAAACCCTCATAGCTCACTATAAGGCTTCTCTAAGATTCCTATAAGAGCAAACATTCTGCAAGAGAGTATATACATTTCAGATCATTAGGCTATTTGAAGTGAGTGCTATTTGTCTATAGAAAATCAGAGATACTCTGAGGTGGGGAACAGGAGGTAAAACTTTTTGCGATCTAGGAAATTGATGATCCTGAATGTTGCTGCCTGACAATAATATAGTAAGTAGTAAATTAGTTGGCTCCAATGCTAACTAATAGTTATTCCCAAAATAGCAAGGCTGAAGGAGCATTTTAAATACCATTTAGACCTCATCCCATTCCTCTCCTACCCCAAATTAGAAGCCCAGGAAAAGGAAAATGAATGGGTGAGCTTTGTGTCCTTTAGTATTTCTGGGACAACTAACTATATGGGTGCCTAAGATTATTAAGCTTAGTCAATGTCAGGTGTCAACAGCCACCAGTCATGACACTGCACTGTTCACACTGAAATAACTGTTACTTGGCCTATATAACAGAAAGCAATGAGCTTTGACCCTTTCCTTAACAGACAGAAAGTCTGTTTCCCAGATTTCAACTCTTCAGAGGCAGATGACAGAGGTCAGAAAATCGCATTATGCACCAGTGAAACTTCTAGTTCTTTCTCGTATCAATTTAGTCAAGTTGCTCAGGTACCACGCAGTTTTGAACTTGTAGGATAGAGTTATCACTGAAGGTAGCAAGGGGATACATGCTCTTGGCCACGGCGTGATGATCCAGCTACATGCTACATGTCCAAAGTTCAGGCATATCCTACCATCTCAGAGGGCATTCCCTACTTGGCCATAGAAGGGAAGTACTATCTGGGGAATAAACGTTTTTGTGGTAATCCAAACCATTTCTCCTCTGCATGAGAATAGATGCTTGCATAGGCACTAATGTGTGACTGTGAGGTGATCTGCTGTCCCTCCTTCCTTCTTGGCAGAGACGTAGGACCACCAATAGAGAATATAGTATATACTGTGAGACTGGGTTGTGCTGGTTCATTTTGCTGACTGTTTTTTCCTCTTTCTTTTTTATTCTTCGTTATAAGGAATGGTTCCCTAGGTGATCGGGAATGAGAAAGAATATATTTAGAAATGAAGGTGATGCAAAAAACAAAGGATATCAATAAAATGTTTAAAAGAAAATTAAGGAGGAAAGGTTTTTAAAGAAAAACAAGGAATTGGGGCACTTAATATAACAGTAACTGCTACATTTAAAGTAATATTATCTGTTAATATGCCAAAACTATGTTTTACTAGTTTGTCATTTTGGTTTGGCTTAGAGACTGAAAGTTTTTGTTCCATACTTTGATATTGTAAAGAATGGCAGAGTTTCCTTATATAACATGAATCACTTGAGCCTGAATTCCATAGATGTGACTAATTTAATTGAAAAGAAGTAGCAATAGTAATAAATGCACAACATTTATAGTGCGTTAGGACTTAACAAAGCACCATCTTCAAAGCCACTCTGAGTAAGGCAAGTATTTTTTACAGATGAGGAAACATGGGCTCAGAAGGTGAAGTGGTTGCAGAACCGGTCTCCAAACCAGCGTTCAGACACAGACCTCTTGGTTTCCGGATCAGCAAGTGCTCTTTCCACTCTGCTTCTACTCAGAGATGGCAACCTGATAAAGTCTTAATGCCAGCATTTAACTATCTGTTGAAGCCTCTCAGAGTTAGAGAATATAAATAAAATTTTACAGAATTTCTATCTTTTCCACTGATGAAGTTCTTCAATATTTGCATATTGAAGATAAAATAAAAATTCATTCACATGTAGGTAATATTCTTTTTATCCTATAAGGACATAATAAATTTCTCCATAACGTCCAGACAACACAGTGTTGTATTTCCCACATCTTTTTAATTGAAATTATAGGTTTTGCACATGATTTTCCTTGAGAAAAAAATCCATATATTCTAAAAATTCTCCTTCACTAAAGGTATTCAAAGAGAGGCTGACATATGCCAGAGATGTCTTCTAAGTTGCCTTTCAACACAAATTCTATTATTATAATTAAAGAAAACACTTAAAATCAAACATTGTATCACAAGAATTGCTATCCTCCAACAGTTTGCCAACTTCAAGGTCAAGCTAGTAGAAATCAGAAATGGTTTTAAAAATATAAACCTTCTTCTCTTGTAATCAACCACTCTCCACTCACATGAACAACACTTAACGGCTCCATTACCACAGAAGGACAAGAACCTGGAAAAGATTTCTATACTGGAAATAATTCCATATAAATGCATTTGAACCTTCTAAAGCTCTCCCGAAGAGATTCTACCAACACTTTCAATATAAATGATTCCAAGTTTTCAGCCCACCCCATCATCACTATCCTTGCAATTAGGCAACAGCATACAATCTCCCATTCAGCATTCTATAACAGATGGTTATTGGGGTATCACTACAAAGAAAACTAAAGGTCCTAACAAATTATCCTTTCCTAAAAAGTGTCCCCTAGAGAAGAAGAAAAGTCACAAGATGGATAAGGTAAATAAAAGACACAACAGGAAATCCATAGAAATTCAATTACCACTGTGACCTAAAAGCCCAGAGCCATTCTATTCTAAGAGCCCTAAACAAACGCTAGGACTGTAGCCCTACAAATACCTGAACCAACAATGAACCTCAAGACTAGCAGGTACAGGAGGTGGTGAAGGAAAAGAAACAGAACAGGTGCACACCCAAAAAAGTCACTACATCCCTTGCAGTGCATTCAATACTCTTTGCAGAAGTGTCGGCTCTTTTCTATTATCTCCCAATTCCCTAAGGGCTATTTCATTGGGACCCTTATAAGCAAAAATAGATTTCTCCAGGAACTTTAGATTCCAGGAGAGATAGATCTTGATTTCCTTCAGCTCACCTTTCCCAAGGTAGACCATGCCATATTCACGACCCTGGGGGTTCTTGTACTCTATTGTGAAACAGACTTCCTTCCCAATCAGCTTCTTTCTCAGGAACTCTCGAGCAGGAAATCCCCAGGGCTAAAAGACAAAACAGACATGCAACATGAGAACTCTCTAATTCCAGTTTACAATCAAAACCTCAAGTAATTTGCCAATTACACAACCACCTCTGTACAATAGCATTTAAACTAGAAAATGCCTAGAAAAGGAACCTCTGATTACCTTATCAGTTAAGGTAAAACTAAGTCACAATGAGTGAACTTCTCAAAAGACTACCTATATTGCTTTTCTATAAGCAAGGAAACCACCTTGAAGTCTTCTAGCAAAACAGAAGACACTCAGATGGCAAGCATCAACAAAATCCACCACCGAAAATATGACTGCCATTCCAACAACTACCTGGTTGGGATGAAAACAGTTTACCCTTTTATATAGTTTTAATATTTGTTTACAAAATGTTTTCCTTTCAACAGGCCCATGCAGCAAGTATTATTATCCCCATTTTACGAATGAAGAAACTGAGGCACAGAAAGTTTAAATGACTTGCACAGGTTCACACATCTAGAATTTTATTCCAACCCAAATTTAGGGCTTCAGATTCCAAAACCAGTGCCCTTTCCCACCCTGGGATACAAATCGAGAGTGGTACTGAAAAGCAACATGTTATGGGAAGGCCGAAAAGGGAGAAGTCACACAGATTACTACGCCCTGTAAAAACACCAATCTGCTATTAAAAAATAAATACACAGCTCTACCTATGCTTGGGTATCAAATTTGGAGCCCCATTGTCTCCCAGAAAGAAAAACCAATATAGCAGCACAATGTACTACCAAAATCTGGACAATAACTCCAACTTATTTCCATAATTAGGGCAAGACAGGCCAAAAGATGCTTTGATGAAGTTTCTCCTAAGTAGAGACAGTCTCACATGAAAAATATATCCCCAGTAGGCAAACACCAAATTTAAATGAAGTTGGCAAAATAACTCAAAGACCTTTCAATACTTGCCTTGTTAACACCTTCTTTTCTAGGGTTAGTCAATCACTGGCCACGAGAAAGGTGCATTGTAAAACTCGGGCTGTCATTCCTCTTCCCCAAGTTTAAGCAAACTATAGCAATGAGAAAAGTCTATTTCTGACAGCCTAAGAAGAAAACAACCTAGTTTCTTAACCTAACTTTCTGTAAAAATCAACTATGAAGGAGGTAACTGTTCTCTTAGTGCTTAATTACATACAACCCCCAAATGACATTCAAGGCAGGAGTTGTGGTCAGTAGAAATGGTACCTGAAACTTGGAAATTTCTCCCTCTGTATCCTAACAGGGAATTTTACTTTTAAGAATCTGTGCTAGGCAACCCAAGAACATTACAAGATACTCAAATGTCCTTCCCTTTCTATCCAAACTTCCAAAGAAAGTCAATCTAACATAGCTAGCACGAGATATATAGTTCTTTGGTGCACATTAAGGTATTTGTGGACCAGAGCATCACTCCATATAACTACATAATGGCAAGTGGAAAAGTTAAAAAAGAAACAATTTGCATGGAATTAACACTAAGCAGTGACTGGGGTAAGGTCTCCCTGACCCTCCATCAAAAAAAAAAATTCTGAGTTATTTGGCATACAATTCTAAGAATCCAAATAATCTTTGTAAATTTTTCATCTCTCTAGCAGGAAGACAGTAGCAGAGGTCGTAATTAGAGAGCAAAATCAGATTTCAAAAACACTATTTCTGAAATCACATCGCAAATGTACTACTAAGTCAGAGTGAAGAGTATCTGTTAGAACAGACCTGTACAACTTGCAGCTTGAAGGCTGCCAAGGGATTTTGGGTGGTCAGTGAAAAATACTGAGGAAATGTAGAGGAAATCCTTTGGTGGGCCATAGGTTGTACAGGCCTGTGTTAAATCAAAGAATATATCTAAGCTAAGCAGAATAAGAAATTGGCCTAATAAAACACAGTTTAACTCCTGAAAGGAAAAATTATTAAAAGAAGTGATGAATAATTAAAGGAGACTAGATGGAGGCACCTTTCACAAGTATGACTAAGGGGAGAATTCTTAACCAAATAAGGGATATAGATCACAAAAGATAAAATGGACAATTTCAATAACATGGAATTGGAAATCTCTTCCAAAAACAAAATCACTTTATCTAGGACAAGAAGGGATACTAGCTTTGCCTCAAATATTTCTGATAATGGTCCAATATCCAAGACGAGAGAATTAACATATGTATGTGTATATATATACATATATACATATATATATACATATATATACACACACACATATATATACATATATATGTATATTTATACACACACACAAAAGCCCAAGAACCATTCAGACAGTTCTCAAAAGAAGTGCAAACAATTAACAAACACATGAAAGACTGGAATTTCACCTCACATTTAGTAAGCTGGCAAAGATGACAAAAGAACAATCAATGTCAGACGGAATGCAAGAAAGAAGGCACACTAATACATGTAGATGGAACTGTAAATAATCTAAATATTCTAGAAAACAACTGGGAATTATGCCCCAACTTCCCAAAATGACTAAAATGTCCATATCATTTGGCAGAGATCTTACTGCTAGGAAAAAACCTCAACAAAGTCAAAGGCAGAAAATTTGTAATATGCATAAAAAAACATCCATAGCAGCACTTTTTTGGTAACAAAGAATTGGAAATAACGTCCATGTCCACTGCCTGAGGAATGCCCTAAACAAGTTGTAGAACATGAATACAATGGGATATTACTATGCACTGAAGTAAGCAGAACCAGGAAACAGCATATACAACTGCAATGTAAATAATGATTACAATGATATAAATGAAAAAGACAATAAAAACAAAACTGAACAAAGTACATTAATTATAACGACCAAGCTTGGTCCTAGAGTAGAGATGAGAAAATGCATATCCCTCCTTTCAATGAAGAGGCGAAGGCTGTATAGGGTGGAATATTGCATATGCTGTTAAATACAGTCAACTGGGGCTTAGTTTTTTTGAATTGTCTTCTTTTTTTAAATCTTTAGTACACGGAAAAGCTCACTGGATAGGGAAGGTGGGAAGGGATCTATTCAGAAATGAATGTGTCCTAAAAACAAAAAGCATCCATAAAGTTTGTTTCTTCATTTCTAAAAGAAAGTTAGTGGCTGTTGGAGAGAACAGGTGAAGACTCAAAAGACACTGAGAATCTCAGAAGAATGAAAGGGAACCCAAGATGGTTTTCAGCTTTCTATGATCATTGGTGGTCTACAAAGATTAGGAGAGCCTCGCCTAGCAGATGCCAAAAGTGGAGAATTCCAAAATTTTTTTAGAAGTGGAAGGTCCTATAAAAACCCTGGAGAAGTACAAACTCTGCCTAGAAGGGTAAATGAGAAGGTTCAAGACCTATAGTCACCCCTGTTCCATGGGCAAAGAATGAGTAACCAACTAAATTAATGGAATTAAAGAAAAATTTGCCTTATTATTGGTGCTAAGACACAGGAATGTTGCAAAGAAGTCAAACAATTATAAAAGTGACAATACCAAGAAATGCATTTTATCTTCTATCCAATTACCTATATGGAGAATCCAGAAAACAGAGTCACGTACCTCATCTGGTGTATCCTTTGCATCTGGCTGTCCTGCTGCAGCCCGTCGAGCCAGGTTCCCAGCACGAATGTTACTAAGGTTGATCTGTCTCTCAGGAGGAGGCCCACCACGTGGCTGTCCTCGGACAATGATAGCACATCCTGAGAGGACCTGTGAGGGAAAAATAAAAGATAAATTTAAAAGTCTAGAGTAGAGATAACAGAAGTAATCTCTCAGAAAAACATATATACAAAATTATAGACCAGAAAAAGCATCTCTACAAAATGGGATGGGAGTCAGGGATACCTCCACTGCTATGAAGATGGTTGCAGTTATATGGCTAAGGGATATCAGTTCTATTTATGGGTATGATGGAGATGAATCAAAAGAAAAAGAAGAGGTCCACTTCAAACATGCCAGACACTAGGAGCAAATGCATAGTGATAAGAAAGAAAAGGAAAAGAACAAGGAAGAATGGCTATACCAATTTGAAAGCAATAAAGAGGATGTGAAGGAGGGTAATGTGAGATATGACTAAAGGATGAGGATGTGAAGAAGGGTAATGTATATACATGACCAGCCTATAAAAGACCTTGAATGCCACAATCAGGAGACTGTATTTTATTCAGTAGGAAAGGGAAAGCCACTGAAGATTGTTGAATGGAAAAAACCCTCTAACTTGCACTCTTGATTCTATTTCTTTTGTCACAGTATTTCTTCATCCCTTTACCCTATAACATATGCTCATGTCAACCCAATCCTAAAGCCTGGCCTACTGACGTCAAATCCAGTTCTTTTTTCACAGCACCAGTTAGTTATCTGTCAGAGCTCTCCCTCTTCTAGCAAACTCCAAACCCACACACATAAAGGTAAAAGTGTTTTAATAAAAAAAGCTAGCATTTAGAACCTACTTGTCCTTGTTTGTCCTTCAACCTCAAAGAGGACCATGACATCAGGGAGGTGATGCCATGACTTGCAAATGAATTGGATTTAAGGAAGGGAAGGCTATGCAAAGTCACCAGCTTCAATTTCCTCTGGTACCATCTGGGACCAGTAGCAAGATACAGATCAGGACAACTGCAGATGGTCCCTTAGAACCTACTATGGTGCCAGACACTATACTAAGCACCTTTTACAAATATTATCTCATTTGGAAAAATGGAGGGCACAGCCAATATGGCAGAGTAAAAGCAGTGACTTGCTTGAGCTCTCCCCGAAACCCCTTCAAATACCTGTAAAAAAAAAAACCAAATTCTAGAGCAGCAGAACCCACAAAAAGACAGAATGAAACAAATTTCCAGCCCAAGACAACTTGGATGCTTGATTGAAAAGGTCTATTGCGCTGGACTGAGAGAGGAGTGCAGTTCAGCGTGGGCGCACAGGCAAAGACCAGGCCTCAGCTAACCTAGAGCAGGGGATTGAATCAAGGGGAGCTGAGGCAGTTTCCAGACTTCTTAACCCATAAATGCCAAAGACAACTTAGAAGGTCAGTAGAAAAGGTCTGTGACCATGGTGAGGGAGGAGCTCAGTCCCAGCATAGCTCCAGAGCAGCGGCTACTTCCGGAGCTCTTGGCCCACAGACTGAGGGAGAATTGAATGGCTGCCAATCAGAGGAGGATTGCAGGGATTTCTTTGCTGGCGTTGAGGCAGGACTCTCTTGTTTTGCCCATGCTTGGATCTGGGTCACAGTTTTGGGTGGCGATCCTGGGGCAAGGAGGAGCGCTGGAGTGGTGGAGCTTGTAGCGGCTGTGGAGAGGGAATCCTCCTCACAGTTCACAGAAAAGAGTGCCTGTGGTCACTCATAGACCAGAGCACAGGTCAGGAAAGGAGTAAACACCTCACCCTTGATCGCACCATCTTGGAAGAACTGAAAATTTACAGGTCCCTAGAAGTATCTCTGAAAACAGCTGCACAAAACCCCTAAAGCTTGGGACTGTACATTCTCCACACTGGAAGCAGATCCCTACCTTAACATAGAGTTTAAAACTCAAGTAACTGGCTGGGAACTTGAGCAAATTGCACAAAAAAGTCAGACCATAGAATCTTTCTTTGGTAACAAAGAAGATCTAAACATACAACCAGAAGACGACAAGAAAGTCAAAGCTCCTACGTCCAAAACCTCCAAGAAAAATATCAATCAGTCCCAGGCCATGGAAGAGCTCAAAAGGATTTTGAGAAGCAAGTAAGAGAAGTAGAGGAAAAACTGGGAAGAGAAATGAGAGTGATACAAGAAAATAATGAAAAACAAATATTATCTCATTTGGTCCTCACAACAATTCATTATCCCCATTTTACAGCTGAGGTAACTAAAAAGATACAGGCTAAGTGACTTGACCAGGGCTACATAGCTAGTAAGTGTGTGAGGTCAAATTTACAACAATAGCATTCCACCATTCATTCATTCTCCATCACCATAGCATATTCAAACCATTTCTCCACTGCTGGACATCCTCTTAGTTTCCAGTTTTTTGCCATCACAAAAAGGAGCCACTATAAATATTTCTGTACATAAAGGACCTTTTCCTCTTTCTTTGATCTCTTTTGAGTATAGGCTTAGCAGTGGTATAGCTGGATCAAAAGGCATGAATAGTATCACTCTCAAGAGCATCAGGTCTTTGCAGTCCAGGTCCCTGTAAAGAGGCCTCTACAATCAGTCAGTCAACATGAACTTATTAAGCACATGCTACATGCCAGGGACTGCACTAAGTGCTGATCTAAGTGAGGCACTAAGTGCCTCAAGGAGCTACCACTGCCATAGCACACAAATTGTACTTGACTAGGTAGATGCCTTTCTGCTAAGCACCTCTGACTTTCATTCTAAAACAGATAGCAACTACCTGGGGAAAAAAAAAAAAAGATTGGCTTTTCGGTTTTTAAACATGAGGAGACAACCTTACGAACCTGTGTGATCCCCAGGCTACAACCTGGAAGAGACTTTTACAACTCACTTGGCTACCTGGACAAGTTATTTCTCTTCTCTGAAATATCTCCCCGTATGTTCATTAGCCCCTTTGATAATGGTCATGAGATGTTTTGACATTAGCCTAGAGAGGACACTCATTTCAGAAGATTATCACTGAACTGGAGAAAGGACTGTTCCAGAACAATCCCACTATCAAAGCTTTAGCAGCTCATGCTTCAAGCTTTCATAGCTGCAATAATTATCCTTGCTAATTTATAGCATATAGATAGCAACTCATGGCAATTGTTTTAACCAATTACCAATAGCAAAATTATGTATTCTAGAAAATCAGCTTGGCCCTACCTGATACAGCTATATGTCTTCAAAACCTAGCTGTCCCATTGAGTCAGTCTGCCTAAGGCTATGAAGGACAAACTCAGCTGTGCCAATAAAGGATGAAGAGAAAAGTGAGGCAATTCAAAGGATCCAGTTTCAGGGCACATCTGATAGTTTACAAAAGCCAATGGAGATGTGCAAAACCAAAGATTGTTGACTAGACAACAATTCACTACATTAAAGCACACACTGACTAGGCAGATGCTAAAAAGCCACCCAGAAGTAAGAAAACCTCAGAGACACATGTTCTTCAGGTTATGACAAATTACTTAATTGTTATAAGTCTCCCACACCCTAATACCAGCTGGTTGGTAACTTTGTTCTTCCACAGCTAACCACACAGACATTAGTTTTATTAAAATAAAAAAAGTTAATGTTCTTGTTGTAGGGGTAGCGTCCCTTACCAGGCTTAATTAAGCTAATTTTTCCTCTCAACTTCAGATACCATCCAACTCGATTCTATAAAACCTGAGGCTATAGTCTTTAAGGTTCACAAGGGCCTAACATTACATAAAGAATCTGCTAAATAGGAAGCCATAGTCAAAAGAATGTGAATAAAGCATACGCTACAAGTGATATGAAAAGAGAGAATGCAGATGCAGCGTAGCGGCCCAATACAGATCAAAGGAAAGAGTGATCGGAAATTGTTTATCTCAGTTATCTCTCAGAGGTTGAGATGCTAAGCACTAAAGGAAACCACCTGACTAACTCAGAAAGCTAAAAGCAAAAGTCAAGAGGGTCCAGGAGGATAGTGGGCTAATTTAAAACTACATATTTTTAATAAGCGTTGAGAAGGAAGTCATAAGGAAGAAGGAAGAAATGCACAAATGAAGGAAGGATGACAATGCGAAGAAATAAGATAAGTTTTTAAAGAGAGTTCTTTGACTGAAGCACTAACTTTAAAAAAAACCATATCATGGAAGAAAGGAACCATGAACGTCACTACAAATTAAAGATATCACAGAGATAGTCTACAACGCAATTTGGAAGCTAGTACTTTCCATAATGGAGCTATATGAATTAAGGTACTGTGCCAAGACTGGAAACAAGCAAGATTTGTTATTAGGTCATTGAGCTCAAAGCCTGTCACAGAAATTAGGTTGGAGGGATGGGGAAGGCATTATTAGAGGTCAGGAAAAAAACAACAGTGTGATGAGGTGCTAGACACAGCAATGAATTAGATGTTGACTAGGAAAACAGCAAGTAAAGAAGATGTAAAAAGTAATGGAGTGAAACTAAATTGGAAGGGGGGGTCAGAAGAAGGAAAAGATAGGTTTTAGAATGCATCAGGAAAAGGCTTCCTGGCAGTCAGCAGTCATCTCCACAGGGGAGCACCATCCCTTGAGAATTTAAAATTTATCTAGACAAGAAATGGGCAATCCTGAAAGAGGTTAAGATATGTGGCCCAGGAGGTTTTTCCCAGGATACCCGCCAACTACGCATTTCCTTTAGGCAGGCAGCTGGCCTCAAAAAGCAGGGGCCTTGCCTAACTTTGAGAAATCAGCATTCATCTAAAATAAAAAAGGGCATGGCACTCCAAAGCACAATCCACTCCTTCAGTATATTAGTCTATCGTTCAGAGTGTCTGACGGTACAGAGATGAAAAGCTACTGGCTCTCTCAATTTCATTCACCTTTACATAAATATTGTCCCAATATTTGAATCAAATTTTAAAACTGGAAAGGACATTATAATCCTGCCCTAATTCAATCCTCTAACTTAACTGTTTAAAAAAAAAATGGAAAATCACTACACTATAAGAAATGACAAATAATTTCCTAATTCAGAGAAACATGGGAAGTAAGCAGAACAAGAGCAACACGGCAGAGCAAATACAGAGCAGGCCTTGGAGTCAGGAAGACCTAGGTTCAAA